GAGGCACGGACGCCGGCGGGGACGGGGAGGGCGACAGCGACGTCGAGGTTGACGCAACCGTATCGAGAGCGCCACCCAAAGGGGGGCGGACAGCCATGGAGGTCACCGAATGGAGGGCGAACGGCACGATACGAAAAGGCAGGGCGAGGCGGATGGAGAAAGAAGTGCCGAGAAGGCCATGGTGGAGGGGAGGGACGGGAGGACGAAAGAAGGGCGAGGAGGACGAGCGGCCCGCACAGGACGCGAGCAGACAGCGCCTGCTGGCCATCTCGAGACATTCGCAAAGAACGCTAGCTACATGGGAGGGCTTCGTGAAGGATGGATTGAAAAACATTCGAACAAAGAAGAGGCGACGGGAGGAACCGGCGGAGGATGCAGTGACGTGACACACACACACACACACACACACACACACACACACACACACACACACACACACACACACACACACACACACACACACACACACACACACACACACACACACACACACACACACACACACACACACACACACACACACACCGCTCACCCACGCGCACTGGGCCTTGCACTTTGAATGCCGTGGGGCTCCTGTCGTCAGACGTGGAGACGCGAGGGTTGCCCCCCCTTGCCCCACCACCTCGTGTGTGTGGAGAAGTTTACCTTACCTTACCTTACCTTACGGACCCCGGCTATTCGCCGACCCTACCCACAAAGAACCCTGCACAAAGATCGTTACCCATCTCACAGTAGAGGTGTCGTTTTTTTTCATCCCTCTCCCGACCACGAGGCAGCACCCCGACGAGTCACGAGAGCAGGGGGTGCCCTGGACTTGCGCGTGCGCTCGCTCTCGCTCGAGTTCAGCCGCCGGGCTCTAGTTTATTCGAACTATCTTCGGTGCGCCCCCCCCCCCCCCCCCTCTAGCTGTGAACAGGCGGGCGACGTGCCGAGCCGCGTGCGCGCGCTCTCGCTCGACCTCGGCGATCCGCTCTGGTTAGCGCGAGCGCCCTCTAGGCGCGCGGTACACTCTAGGCGCTAGGGGGACGCATAGCCGTCGACTCCCCCGCTGGAGGCGGCAGCGACTGCCTGCCGGCTGCCCCGCACGTTGATTGGGAAGTTTTGCGGTGAAGACTGTCTGTGTCGGCATCGCCCTGCCTGGGAGCGCTGGGCCTGCGCCGGGTCGCGGACACAGAGGTGGAGGCGCTTGACGGCGGCGGCGGGGGCACCCTGCTAATGCATAGCATGCTTCTGTGGATCGATGTAGTACAGTGTGGGGACAGGACGAGGCACAGGTATGTTGAAGAAGTGTAGTGAGCTCAGAGCTGTACACGGAGCGAGGGTCTGTACCGAGGCGTACAGGAACGATACAAGCAAGACTACATCAGCCAAGCCGCGGTTGAGCGGACGTTCGTCCGACAAACAGAGCAATAAGCAAGCCGGCCTGACACGTCCCGCACATGTCCCTGTTCGCACAGACATCTCGCTAGGATAGAGACGTCTCTCCCTCTCTCTCTCTCTATCTATTTTCATGAGGAGGGCGTTCACACTCCCAACACTCCCCCATTGTCTGCGCGGTCTTCAGATGCGGCAGACAACACAGCGGAGTGTGAAGCGATTAATCGTCACGCTGATCAGAGGCGCGAGCTAGAGTAGTGAACGTGGCATGTGACCTTCCGTCTCCCGGGCTCAAGTGCATATCGGAGCGGTCGACTTGATGTCAATTGAACAACATGCGAGAAGTAGAGCTTGGTCAGCCGCGCGCGGCGATCCGAGCTGAGCGCCGCGGGGCGACGGGTTGAGCGGGCGCAGCTTGCGCGGCGGGCGGGGCGACGGGCGCGCCCCTTGGCGCCGCTGGTGCGGCGGGAGGCTCGACGCGGACGATCGCCTCGGGGACTTGAATTGCAGGACGCGCTGGACTGTGGAGGAGGCGAGCGTTGAACCTTTTCAATTGAAAAGGCGACTCTGAAAGACACCGGGGCAGGTTTTTTTTCTTTTTCTCGCGATGACTGCCTCGCGCCGCCGCTCGCGCCGCCTCGCCACCTCCTCCTCCGCCGCCGCTCCCTCGCCAGGCACGCCGCCGCCCGCCCGCCTCCTTGACCTCCCCACCGAGCTCCTCGAGCGCGTCCTCGCTCGCTGCGACAGCCCCGCCGACATCGCTCGCGTCGCGGCCGTCTCGCTGCTCTTCCACGCCTCGCTCGCGGCGGGGGCCATCCGCTTGTGGGCGCAAGAGCGCGGCTTCGAGCTGCCGGCGCAGCCTGAGGACGAGGGCTGCGCCGTGCGGTGGCTGTGCTATTCGGCGCTGCTGTGCGAGTCCAACCCGCCGGCGAGGGCGGCGGCAGGCGGACGGCACAGCCTCTTCATCGACGGCGAGGGGCGGCTCTCGTCGTGCGGCTCGGAGGAGCGACAGCCAGGCCTCCTTGGCCACGGCGAGGGCGTGGCGCGGCTCAATGCGCCGACCCTCCTCCCCTCCCCGCTGGGAGGTGAGCACGCCGTGAGCGTGTCGGCTGCAACCGGGCACAGCCTCGCCCTCGCCGCCGCCGGCGATGTCTGGAGCTGGGGCCAGGGAGGCTTTGGCCAGCTGGGCCACGGCGACGAGCAGAACCAGCTGCTGCCGAAGAAGATCGAGGCCTTTGCTGGCTACCGCGTCGTCGCTGTGTCGGCTGAATGCGTCCACAGCCTCGCCCTCACCGCTGATGGCAGCGTCTGGAGCTGGGGCTATGGAGCCCTTGGCCGGTTGGGCCACGGCGAAACGCACCAGCAGGACCAGCTGCTGCCCAAGAAGGTGGAGGCCTTTGCTGGCTACCGCGTCGTCGCTGTCTCGGCTGGGTACGACCACAGCCTGGCCATCGCCGCCGATGGCAGCGTCTGGAGCTGGGGATATGGAGGCTTTGGCCAGCTGGGCCACGGCGGCACGCACCAGCAGCTGCTGCCCAAGAAGGTCGAGGCCTTTGCTGGGCGGCGCGTCGTCGCTGTGTCGGCTGGGACCGCTCACAGCCTCGCCATCACCGCTGACGGCGCCGTCTGGAGCTGGGGCTCGGGAGGTTTTGGCAAGCTGGGCCACGGCGACACGCACCAGCAGCTGCTGCCGAAGAAGGTCGAGGCCTTTGCTGGCCAGCGCGTCGTCGCTGTCTGGGCTGGATCAATGCATTGCCTCGCCATCACCGCCGACGGCGCCGTCTGGAGCTGGGGCTGGGGAATGTTCGGCATGTTGGGCCACGGCGACACGCGGACCCAGCTGCTGCCCAAGAAGGTGGAGGCCTTGGCTGGCGGGCGCGTCGTTGCTGTGTCGGCTGGAGCCGAGCACAGCATCGCTCTCGCCGCCGACGGCGCCGTCTTTACGTGGGGCAAGGGCGATTGCAGCTGCCTAGGCCACGGAGAGGACATGTCGAACCAGCTGCTGCCCAAGAAGATTTAGTCGTGGGCGCGGGGGCACCGGGGTGTGTTCCCGACCTCGTCTCACCCCGCTGGCTGCGAACGCGAACGCTGTCATCCCAGCTGCACCCGTCCGCTCGCCTCACCGAGCGACGCGCGCCGAGCCACTTGTATCAGTACACAGTGCTGAGCTGCCTCGTGCAGGCCTGTGCTGCCGACGCGAGAGGCCGAGAGCTTGCTCTGGCTCGTGTCCCTGAAAACCCTGTCGCCTGTGCTCCGTCCGCGTCGCGGCCTCTGAGCTCCGTCGAGTCGCCCGGGCGCGCGCGGGCAGGCGCACCGAACTTACCGGAGGGTGTTTCACAGAGAGCCATTGACAAGCAAAAAAGGAAATTAGTACGTGCGCACCCCACCCTCATGCTCATCCCTCTCAAGCAGGAGGATGTACGAAGAGATTAGGAGCAGCAGGGACCCGAGGGGCCATGTGGAAGATGGCTAGTGCTAGTCCCCCCGCCCGATCGGGAGGACGGACCCCGGCTATTCGCCGACCCTACACGCCCCACAAAGAACCCTGCACAAAGATCGCAAGGGCGGGGACCTGTTCCTTTTTACCCATCTCACAGTAGAGGTGTCGTTTTTTATTTATTTCATCCCTCTCCCGACCACGAGGCAGCACCCCGAGGGACGAGTCACGTCTCACGAGAGCAGGGGGTGCCCTGGACTTGCGCGTGCGCTCGCTCTCGCTCGAGTTCAGCCGCCGGGCTCTAGTTTATTCGAACTATCTTCGGTGCGCCCCCCCCCCCCCCCCCTCTAGCTGTGAACAGGCGGGCGACGTGCCGAGCCGCGTGCGCGCGCTCTCGCTCGACCTCGGCGAGCCGCTCTGGTTAGCGCGAGCGCCTCTAGGGGGAGGCATAGCCGTCGACTCCCCCGCTGGAGGCGGCAGCGACTGCCTGCCGGCTGCCCCGCACGTTGATCGGGAAGTTTTGCGGTGAAGACTGTCTGTGTCGGCATCGCCCTGCCTGGGAGCGCTGGGCCTGCGGGTCGCGGACACAGAGAGATGGAGGCGCTTGACGGCGGCGGCTGGGGATAATGCATAGCATGCTTCTGTGGATCGATGTAGTACAGTGTGGGGACAGGACGAGGCACAGGTATGTTGCAGTGAGTGAGTATACACACATCACAGGTAGGTAGGTAGGAAGGTGAAGAACAGCCAGGCTCGGACTGGACACCTCCAACGCGGTATGGGTGGACGCGGGACAGATGATGACGACACGCACGAGCGACACACAGACACAAACAAGCTCACAAGACACACAGCCAGCTGGCTGCCACACACCCTGAGTTGGCGTACACAGAACTCACAGGGCCACATTCCTCCTGTCGCCCCCCCCAGCACTCCAAGGTGCCAAGAGAAACAAACAAGGGCACAACATCACAACAGACGACAGGAGGTAATATGCGAGGCTAGAGCAGGCTTGCTCCACCTCTAGCAATCTCGCCGGCCGGCGAGGCACGGACGAGACCGTGTGTGGGGTTAGTGAGGTGTCTATGGTCGCCCTCACACACACACGCGCACTTGGAGCACTTGGAATGCAGTCGGCAACCTCACATCCTGCCCGCGACGAATTCTTTTTCGGCGACGGCAAGAGCCTCGGCCAGGCGATAGCCGCCGAACGATACCCGCCGGACGATAGCCGCCGGAGCTCGTGAGCGAGCCGTCATGGTTGCGAAGACGGCCAAGGAGAAGATGGCTATTCTGGTAAGAAAGGGCGGCGAGCTGGGCACCTGGGGCCAGAAGAAGCCCGGCTTCTACAGCCTCTCCATCCTGTACGACGCCGCCGAGAGGCAGGCACGCCGGAGAAGAGCGACGCATAGCACCGCACCTCTCCTCTCCTCGGCGGGTCGCCGCCTGGTGCGCGCGTGCCGTCCACTGCGAGACCTTCGCCGCGCCGCAGCCGCTCGCGCGCGGCAGCGCCACAGCCACGCACCGGAACGCGAGAGCGGCGGCAAGGGATCGCCTTCCCAGCCGCAAGTGGCCCACTGCTGCCGGGAGTGGCGTGCGCTGGGTCTCAGCTCGCATCCTTCCGCCTCCCCGCGTGCAGCGCTCCGCCGGGTACGAGGCCCTCAACGGCAAAAAGTACGCGGAGGGGTACGTCCTCCTGCTCCGCTTCACCAAGTTTTATGACATGGCGCGGCTGGCCCCCTCCCTCTCCCCAAAACACCCTCCCCCCCCTCCCCCTCCCCCAAGGTCATGGCCTCCAAGCCCGACAAGAAGACCGCAGAGTTCCGCGCGCTGCAGCGCCAGATGTTCACCGTCGTCGACGCTCTCGAGGACGTCAAGGCGCGCGAGATATAGGGGGAGATAGGGGGGGAGATATGGGGAGAGGTGGGGAGAGGTGGGGAGAGGTGGGGGGAGACACGGGGAGACACGGGGAGATATGGGGAGAGATTGCATCTTGCCGAGATCGAGCCGAGATCGAGCCGAGGACCCAAAGGCCTTCCCCCCACACCGAGCCGGGCCGCACACCCGACTGCCATTCCTTCACACGCCAGTGCCCTCCTCACCCCCCCCCCCCCTTCTGCGCAGGCGCGCCTCTACAGGGAGTGGGGCGCTGCAGACGAGGCCGCCGCCGCCGCAGCAGCAGCAGCAGCAGCGCAGGCTGCCGGCCCTAACCCTCACCCTCACCCTCACCCTCACCCTCACCCTCACCCTCACCCTCACCCTCACCCTCACCCTCACCCTCACCCTCACCCTCACCCTCACCCTCACCCTCACCCACCCAATCCCCCACCCCGAACCTAGGCTGCCGAGCCGCAGCCCGCCGAAACAGCGGAGATAGCAGATGCCCTCGCCGCGCGCTTCGACGCACTTCGCGCAAAGGCGCCCGAACCAGACCCTCCTCCGCGGCCGACAGTGCCGGAGCCCGCACACGCGTCGTCCAAGGGGGGAGGAGGTGCCGCCGCCCCCGCCGCTGCTGCCGCTGCTGCCGCTGCTGCCGCTGCCGGCGGCGGCGCTGCTGCGGCGGCGGCTGGCGCGGCGCTCGGGCCGTCGCCGCTGTACCCGTCACAGCGCGTGGCGCCCCCGCCTGGAGGGGGAGGAGGAGGGGGAGGAGGAGGGGGAGGGGGAGGGGGAGGAGGCGCGCTGCTAGTGGATGATGATTACAAGTAGCGGACCGAGTCATCCCACTCGGCGTCATTCCTTCCTAGGGGCGATGACGCTGGAGGAGCTGAAAGCGTCCGGCGCGTTGCTCAACCCAGAGGCGCAGGCACACTGGTCACCGCCACCGACGCCGGCCGCAGCGCCGCCCTCCGCGGCGCCGGCGCCGCCCGCCCCCTCCTCCGACACGACCGCGTCGTTGCCCGAGCTGCCGACGTCGACCTCGCCGCTGCCGCCCGTCCGCCCGCCGCCCGCCGCGCCGCCGTCCGCGCTGCCGCCGCCGCCAGACTACCAGACGACGTTTGCCAACACCATGTACCCGACGATCGCGCGCCCGATCCTGCAGCTGCCGCAGGGGGACCCGTCCTCCCAGCCCGCCCTCGCCCCGCCCCCGCCCCCCCCCTCCTCCTCCTCCTCCTCCTCGGCGAGCGCCGCCGCCGCCGCCGCGCTCGTGCGGTCGCCGACCGCGCCTCCGCCGGCTGGTCCGAGTTCTCTACGAATAGCCGAGATGTAGCCCGAGATCTAGCTCGTGCGGCCGCCGGCAGGTCCGATGCTGCCCCCCCC